CAACTCAAGGAAGTGGTGGGGGATGTTTTAGCTCACACTTTGAGGCTGCAGCCCATCATAGCAGGAAACCCAGGCAGCAGGAGCCTGGGCTCACACAGACTACAGTTAGAAAGCAGAGAACCATGAGAACTGGTTCTCAGTTCCACCTCAATTAACCCAATCTAAAAAATCCTTCAGAGATGTGTCCCGCCGGGAAGTGTCTCTGAGGTGTTCTAGACTCTCTCAGGCTGACAACAAATATTAACCATCACAGAAGGTGAACAATTTCAAAACTCATTTACTCAAAGATTCTAGCAGATGAGAGGGAAGATGCTATCCTAATCTGTACATTCCTGGTCTTTACACTTCCCAGCATTGCTGGTTCTTTCTCCTCAGAGGGCCAAGGTAAGTCTACATCTAGAGAGCTGTCCTACTGAGAAAGGCATGCCTAGTGAGAGCCTTGGGCTGCTAAGCAAAGAGAAGGAATCCGGTCGAACATGAGGTGATGAAAAGGAGGATCCGGCGCCTCCTAACCCCACCCACCCACCTTGAGCTGCAATTTCCCTTGCTCTGGAATAAGTCTAACACACAGCCTTTACTGCTGTGCATTTTAAGCATGTATTTATTTTTGGAGGTGCACGCCATAGTGCACACATGTGAAAGTCAGAGGACAACTTGCAGGAGTGAGTTCTCTCCACTCTGTGGATCCCGGAGATCAAACTCCAGTCCTCAGGCTTTAGCTGCAGGCACCTTTACCTGCTGAGCCATCTCACTGGGCCCCTCCTGTGCGTGTGAACCTCTGTCACCAGCATCCTCTGGATCCACATGTCAAGTCGCTTACCTGTTCCTTCTATCTGTTCAGCTTTACTGGTCTCTTCTCCATCTGTCTAAAAGCATTCTTGAATTTGTCTCTATACTTATAATTCAATACTGCAAGCCCTTATATTGTCGTGTTCTCCTCTCTGGGTCACAGAAAGATAAAGCAGTGTGGAGAATCCATAATTTACAAAAAGAAAACAACAAAAACTATGCTGGAAGGGCGTATAATTTAGTAGTGGAAGAATGACTAGTTCTCCACTGAAAACCGTGGTGATCCATAAAAGACCGGATGTAATTAAATCCTGAGCTGTATTGTCAGACTCTGAGCTCCTCTAGCTGAGGGGAGGCAGAACTGGGAATCCCCTGTGGTATGATAGTTGAAGATGATGCTTTGCTGTATATGTAGCACAAACTCATGCAGAAGATTAGTTCTCAACATCCTGCGGTATGAAGAGGGCAGACACTGAGGCTGTGGAGATGGCTCACTTGGGCAAATGCTCAGCATGAGGACCTGAGTTCAGATCCTCAGAATCCATGGAAAGCCGCTGCACATGGTAGCACACGTCTGTAATGCCAGAACTCCTCTGATGAGATGGGAGCTAGAGAGGAGAATCTGGGAAGCTCATGAACCAGGTAGCCGGGGGTAAACAGGAGCAAACTATGACAGACTACACCTTAAATTGGGTAGAAGGCAAGGACTGATCCCCACACCTTCCTCTGACCTCCACGTGTGCATATGGTATTCATGCATGAGCACATGCACTCACTCATACACATGCATGGGCACACGCGCACACACACACACACACACACACACACACACACACACACACACACACACCCCATACCCACACAAAAGAAGAGCTTTCAACCCACAACTATATACTACATTCACATGATCCTGAAACTTTAGGAACAATATAAAAATACATGAGCCAAAGAAAGAAAGCAGGATGTTTCTAGTGTGTAGTAAGTAGGAATACCCCATCTATCAATGTCTGCTCAGTGACTCCAATTTTCAGTTCACCCCCACACACCCTACCCCTTCAGACAGACTTGAGGAGCCCTGCGCTGTGATGAACCAACCTTTTTCCAGCCACAGGTGGGAGGTGAGCAGGTGATTACTGAGGGCTGTATACTCAGCCCGGGCTTGTTCCGCTGGGGTCAATTACAGAGCTGGTTACAAGCAGGTGTTTGCACCTGTTCAAGCCTTCAAACGTACTGCTCCCATATTAATTAAACTACTCCTTAAAAGCAGGTTAAAAATGAATTAGACCCTGCCATCCTGTGCCGGTCCCAGCCTTCCCTTGGTGGCTCTTCATCTATAAGAGATCATCTATAGAGGGACTGGAGCAGTGTTTCTGTGTGATTAGGGAGGGGTGAATCATGCCGCATCAATTATCGCTGCCACCATTTAGTCAAACAGTTGTTAGTACATAGCACATGTTAGTGATTAATTAATAAGGTTGATTATTGATTAGCTAAGCTCCTCACTTACGAGGTAAAACACACAGCCCACCACCTAGCACAAGGCCCACTGAGTGCACCAGGAATATCAACAGTGTAAAGAGAAAGGCAGTCGCAGTGACAGCCTGCATCTTTTCTAATGGGTTAAGGGACAGCAGCCCATAGCTAACCAAACCATTTTCCAAATGTAACACATTTACATGACCTGAGTTGTCGGGTTGGTCTGGTGCTTCATCCTCAAAAATCTTTGAAAAGGGGAGAAAACTAGCACTATGGCAATTGAACGTGGGAGTTGGTCTGGGCAGGATGGGTAGAAAATGTGGTACCACATGCATGTAGGATTCACAGAGTTCTAATAGAACACATGACATGAATATTTAATTTACATGCTTAAATACCACCATTGCTTTTCTTCGGTGTCATTTGAATTAGTCATCCATGCTTCCCTAACCATCAAATGCAATAGCTACACAGGCTTTGAGGCGCTCGCCTCCATTCCTCATCACAGTCAGAAACAGAGTTTGATCAATGGGGATCTACATGCCAGGGAGCTCCAGCCTCCCACTTCCACTGAGGGTCTCCAGCCTTTCAGGAGGCATACCTCAACAATTTTCCAAAGCTAAGCCTGGAGCCACACCCATTACCAAGTCTATAGCCATGTGAACAACACAGGCAGGTAACACACCAACAAATTATACTGGAAAAAAAATAACACAAAGCTTTTAACTAATTAATAACAACACTAAGAGAGTGTGCTGGTTAGTTTTTACTATCAGTTTAACACAATCTAGAATCACCCAGGAAGAGAGTCCCAGTAAGGTAGCGTCTAGATCAGGTTGGTCTATGAGCATGTCTGTGGGGAATCATCTTGATTACTAATGCTAATTGATGTGGGGAACATACAGTCCACTGCCGGTGGCACCATTCCCTAGGCAGAGGGTCTAGAACTGCGGCAGAGTGGAGAAACTGAGCTCAGCACAACAAACAGGCAAGTGAATGTGCTCTTGAGTGTAGATGTGATATGACTCACTGCTTCAAGCTCCTGATACTGTTACTTCCCCACAATGATAGATTATAACCTGGAATTGTGCACTAAAATAAACCCTTTCTTCCCCAAGGTGCTTTTTGTCAGGATAGTTTGTTGTGGAATATTAGTTGAAGATGTGTTACATTTGTTTATGCTGTGGAACATTTGTTTAATGATGTAAAGATGTGTTGCATTCTTTTGTGTTGCATTTGTTTAACTCTGTAAAGCTGTGTTGCTGTGCCTGCCTAAAACACCTGATGGTCTAATAAAGAGCTGAATGGCCAATAGTGAGGCAGGAGAAAGGACAGGTGGGGCTGGTAGGCAGAGAATAAATCGGAGGAGAAATAGGGAAGAGAGGGAGGAGTGAGAAAAAGAGAAGAAGAGAAGGATGTCAGGGGCCAGCCACCCAGCCATGGAATAATAAGGAAATAAAGATGTATAGAATAAAGAGGGGGGAAAGCCCAGAGGCAAAACATAGTTAGAGAGAAACAGGATAATTTAAGTTAGAACAACTGGATAGAAACAACCCAAGCTAAGGCTGGGCATTTGTAAGTAAGAATAAGTCTTCGAGGATTTATTTGGGAGTTAGGTGGCAGGCCCCCAAAGAGTAAAATTAAAAGCCAACTACAATATTTTGTCACAGCAACAGAAATAAAAGTAAAACAGTAACTAATACAGCCAATGAGTAAAGAAGTTTGTTTGTGTACAGTGGCACACAGCTACCCATAACCGTGAGCCAAGGGCAATCAGCAAGAAAACACGGGTCAGAGTGGCCAACGGGAAGTTTCTTGTTGGGCGTCAGCTATCCTCAAGGATGGAGGACAGGAAACCAAGCCAGAGTTCTCTAGTCAGAGTTCTCTAGTTGGCTGCTGACCAATTCTGAGGACCCTGGGCTAAGACAAATGGAAGAAACTGTGAGTAAACATCTCAGTCACTGTGTAAGTGCTCCTGATGTTCTGAGCACCTCTGGAAGCCACTCAGAGAATCAATGGGAGAAAACATCCAGACACAAAATAGAACAAAGATCTGTCCTCGTTGCAGCATGGAGAGAACTGAAGGACATTAGGTTAGGTGAAATAACCATAGCTCCGGGGTCTTCCTCACATGCAGAGGCTGAAACTCGATTTCAGGAGAGCAGAGGGCAGAATAGCGGTTGCTGGAGCTTGGAAAGGTGCAGAGGGGAAGCTGGGGAGAAGATAGTTAATGAGAGCAGGGGTAAAGTAGGGTGTGAGGAGTCAGGCCTGTGGTGACAATGATTGGCAGGCAATAGAATGTTTAAAAATCACTAATATTAAGAATGTTCCTACAAGGTGGCCATGGCATATGTCTTTAATCCTAGCACTCAGGAAGCAGAGGCAGGCGGATCCTTGTGAGTTCAAGGTCAACCTGGTCTACAGAGTGAGTTCCAGGACAGCCAGAGCTGTTACACAGAGAAACCCTATCAAAAAAAAAAAAAAAAAGACAGCAATGTTCCCACCCTAAGAGAAATTATACATGTTTGAGCATTATATAGGACAAATATCTGATGCCATCATTACACAATACATATACATATTAAAAAGTCACACTGTACCACATAAATATACACAATTACTGTATTTTCATTCAAAATCAAAACATATTTTTAGAAATTCAATTTTCAAATTGAAAATTTAGTCACCTTCCATACCTGAGAAAAACAATTTAAGGGGGGGAAATATATATTTACTTAGGGTCCTGGTTTCAGAAGTTTTGATCTGAGGCCTGCTGGTTCCGCCGTCTTCAGCCTGGGATGAGGTAGAAAGAGGAGATTGTTCCCCTCACGGCAGACCCTAAGCAAAGAGAAAGAGGGGCAGTGGGGAGCTAGTACATTCCCTTCAAGGACAAGACATGCCCCAAGTCTTGTCCTTGTCTTGTCCTCCAGGCAGGCCCCACCTCCTACTAACCCAGCAGGTAGGAACTCACGATGGATTAACCCTCTAACGAAGTCAGAGTCCTCCTGATTGATCATAGAGCCATTAGCTAGGGACCAAGTGTTTCAAGGCACACTTCTTTTCACTATTTTTATGCATGTACAAGTTGGACCAGCAGGTCATTCTTCAGTGGCAGGGTCCTGAGAGAGAGGACCAGGGGATGAGAAAATACAGAAGACAGGAAAGCTTGAGCTCAGGAGGTCTGGCACAAGCTGATTTCTACTTCTAGGAATGCAGCATTCAAAGCATTCCCATGCTAAGCAGCCTATTAGTGGAAAGATACAAACAGTATGAATCTCTTTCTGTACAAGGTTGCCTCAATAAATAATGGTGGGTCACCAAGAAGGTTCAGCGGTGACAGGGAGGTAAGAAAATAGGTATGCTAACGCCACCAGTGGAGGGGCTCTCGGGGATCGAACTCCAGGCCTCATGCTTGCACGCTTGGCCACAGAGCAGTCTTCCCAGCCCCAAGTTGCTTCTTTCGAACGATCATTTCTGACTGGAAATCTGAAGCTGAAATGGCACAAATAACTGAGGAATCTGGCACATCTCCACCTCACCTAAGAAAAGGAAGAGCCCTATGGACTTGCGAAGTGCTTTTTTTACCACCCTACACCATTTGTCATTGGTCTACTTGGGAGACATTTGAGCAATGTGGCAGCAAAGGCCCTTAGCTTGTCTACACTCAAGTAGTCTTTCAGAAAGTGTTTCGATGGGAACTTCTCAGGGTGCTAGAGGAAAAGGAACAGAACCTTCCACGGCCACTCACACTGCCCTGAAAGCTGCCCACTGGCCCCAGCATGCTCAGAAACTGGTGACTACGGGACCCAGCTGTGGGAAATGGGGAAAGAAGTCACGGTGGCTGTTGGGGGGTCGACCTCAGCGCCCTCCGGGAACCCTGAAAGGGGCTTATGGAAACTGGTCTTGAAGCACCAATGTGCTGGCAATCTGAAAGGAAGAGAAAGTTGAAATAAGTTTCTCAGGCTTCCAAAGCTCTCTCAGATTCCAGGAAAATAGAATTGCATAACAAAGGAGAAGAGCAGGCGATCAAAGAGGGTGGATCGCTGTGGTTTTGGCCCAATATATCTTTGGTGCTTTTGGGAGAGAAAAAGGATGCCGAAAGAAAGGGGAGGTAAAGATATGCATACACTTAGAAAATCTGCATAAGGGGCAATAGAAAAATGGCTCTGCTGACAAAAATGAAGGCTGGGGTGATGAAAAGGTAGCAATAGAGTATGTCCCAATTGCCGAGGTACTGGAATGCCAGGAAGAATTCATCAGATAGCACCAGAACATTCAGCAGATTCCGCCTGTGTGCATGGACTCAGAGGCCGTGGAGAGAGATACAGAGACCATGGGAGAGACCGACAACCAGTTAGAGTAAGTTTGTATGAGACAGATGCAGTAAGGATGGGGAGGGGAGGGATGCAGTAAGGATGGGGAGGGGAGGTGCAGTAAGGATGAGAGGTGAGGTGCAGTAAGGATGGAAGGTGAGGTGTAGTAAGGATGGGGAGGTGAGGTGCAGTCAGGATGGGGAGGTGAGGGATGCAGTAAGGATGGGGAGGTGAGGTGCAGTAAGGATGGGGAGGGGAGGGATGCAGTAAGGATGGGGAGGTGAGGTGCAGTCAGGATGGGGAGGTGAGGGATGCAGTAAGGATGGGGAGGTGAGGTGCAGTAAGGATGGGGAGGGGAGGGATGCAGTAAGGATGGGGAGGTGAGGTGCAGTAAGGATGGGAGGTGAGGGATGCAGTAAGGATGGGGAGGGGAGGGATGCAGTAAGGATGGGGAGGGGAGGGATGCAGTAAGGATGGGAGGGGAGGCATGCAGTAAGGATGGGAGGTGAGGTACAGTAAGGATGGGGAGGTGAGGTGCAGTAAGGATGGGAGGTGAGGTGCAGTAAGGATGGGAGGGGAGGTGCAGTAAAGATGGGAGGGGAGGGATGCAGTAAGGAGGAAAAGAAGACGGAGGAGGTAGAGAGATGAAAACTTACTAATAGCAGCAGCAGCATCCCTGGGCAAAGCTGCCTCCAGTGGATGTGCATTCTCTCTGCACATGGAGAAAATAAATGTTCCCAGATTTCTAGAATCATTTAGAAAATGGATGATGCCACCGGCTTGTATGCATCCTCCAACACGGGGAGGTACCAACCTGAATACCTGGCTCTCCTCTGGTAGTGCATTAAGAGTCTCTGAGTCTGTTGCCGAAGAAAAGCCAAATGTTAGCCTTGTGTCAGCATTCCTGAAAACAGGAAGTTCCTTCTTCCAGGAAACGAGATAAAGAGAAGTCAAGATTCAGGGTAGATAGCAAAAAAAGGTTAGATGCCATTTTGTAGGAGTTTTCCTACCCACTTTCTAAGACTATTAAAAAGATGTATTTATCGCTGTGAGTTCAAGGCCAGCCTGGTCAACACAGCAAGCTCCTGGACAGTCAGGGCTACATACACAGAAACCTGTCTCAAAGAACATGTATGTGTGTGTGTGTGTGTGTGTGTGTGTTTACATGTGTGTGTTTACGTATGTGTAGGCTTGTACATGCAGCAGCAAGCATATGGAGGTCAGAGAACAACCAACACAAAACCTCTCCACTATGGAGATCCTGGGGGGTCAAACTCAAGTTGTAACAGGTCCCCAGATCTTAGTAGGCCCCCAAACCTTAGAACAACTGATACCATGAGGTAAGTACCATTCAGGCCTTGAAGCCCAGCATGGAGGCAGCATCACCTGCCAAAGAACGAGAACAAAACCTAGCCAAGCCCATGGTTCTGAGAATTCCCTAAATGTGCTAACCTTGCTTCTTGGCTTCTGTAGTTCTGCTTCTGAATAACTGTTCCTGCTACCTGAGGTCAACCAATAATGCTGTTTTTGTGTTTAAAAGCCCACCTTGAGAAAGGCTTAGGCTGCATTGGAGTCACAAACACCCAGTGTCGTGGCCAGCTGGCTAATAAAGACTTTCTATTGACTTAAACCTGCATGGGAGTTGTCTTCTCTGGCGAATACCTCACAACAAAGTCACCAAGCTTTGGCAAGTGCCCCTGCCTGCTGAGCCATGTCACTGGGCCCTACCCACTCTCTACTGAATTCCCCGATGGAGTCACCATGAGCAGCCATGCACTGAGGACAATACTGTGAATATCCAATAGACTTTGAGAAAAGCTGAAACAAAAACTTATTACTACTAAGATGACAAGTTCTCCATCAAACTATGAAGACTGTCATATTGGATCTGTGTGGGTGAGAGATTTGTCCCGACCGCGGGCCAGGTGGGACACAGAAAAACTTCCGACTACAGATATGCATTATCCCCCAAAAAGGCTCATGTAGTGAGAGCGTGGTTCTTAGATGCTGCTTTGCTCTCCTGGGAATTGACTGACTCACAGAGCTGCTAAGTGCCTCAGTAGATTAGCCTGCTGATGAGCTCCAACTGAATGGGCTAGTTTTAGTAGGTGGATCCTGGTTGGAGGAAGCAATTACCTGGGCCATGCCTTTCAGGATTGTATCTTGTCCCTGGACACCCTACCCCACTTTGTCTTCTAACCTTTCTCCCTTCTCTCTCCCCTTCCCTTCCCTGCTTCTTCCTGAACACACTCTGCCATAATATTCTACTTCACCTCAGCCTAAAGCAAGCAATGGAACCAGATAACCGTGAGCCCAAACCTTTGCTACCACAACCGGAAATAAACCTTCCTTTCTTTAGGTCATTTTCTGAGGCATTTTGTCACATTGACACAAAGCTTATTAACACAGCACCTGACCTGACTAAGAAGTCACTAAATTATTATGGAGATAAATAAACTCTATAGAGAAAGGAAGGGGGTAAACAGCACAGTTCCTGCTCTTAAGTGAGACGATGGTAATGGTTGTTGTTGGTGGTGGTGGTGGTGGTGGTGGTGGTGTGTGTGTGTGTGTGTGTGTGTGTGTGTGTGTGTGTGTTTCATCCTCTACATGCAACAGTGTTGACACACCTAACATTAAAATCCTCTTGGCCCCAACAACATGGCTGTGGGATTAAAGCCTGCCCTAGGTTACTGCCCAGAGCAACTCCATGCCTACCGTTAAAGTGATATTAACCAGTTTCAGTTTTTGCTTCCTCTTCTTAATTTTTGCAGTGATTGTGTGATCAAAACAATGCATTGTTCTGCAAACAAATTAGTGGTAAAAGGAACACTTTTAAAGGTCTTGAAAATATGAGCATCTTAAGTGTCACATGCTTAACAAGAGTTGAACACACAGAGGAGATCCATGCCTGGATATTGAAATGGGTATGTGGCAAGGTGTCAGCTATCTTTCCTAGCAGAGAAAAAGGGAATGAAGGAGAAACAAAACATTCTTTTTCTGAAATAATAGTCTCAATTCATTTGGATTTCATCTAGAGCCTATACCACAAGTCAGTCACTGTAACAGAGAAAGCCCAAGCAACCGTTGGCAGTTTACCCCTCCAAAATCCAATGCACGAGAGGAAGCCCAGAACCTGCTACAGTTTTTGTTATTTCCATACTAACTAGATGTCACTGAGGAGTGGAAAGGACAGTCTGACCTGCATAGCAGTGACAGGAAGACTCTAAAAGCCAGTTCTCTGGTGCTGACAGCCGCACGATGCAGGAAAACCTCTTTGCTGACCTTTCCGAACAGCATTCCTCTTTGGAGACGCTGCTGTCTTGCCTTTTAGAATTTCACCACTGAGTGTTGCCTGCAGACACGGCACAAGCTACGAACATAATGACTTGGAATTCACTCACCTTTGAAATAAGTTCTGCTTCTCAGAGAAGCCACAGACCTACCACAGAGAGAAGACACCGACCGCACAGAGTATGTGATTGCCAGCTCTGGACACCCCAACATACAAATACAGATCCTACAGCAGCAGAGGTGTGGTGAGCTCTTCACAGACCTCTGTCACCTGAATCCAAGGTCCCTCTCGTTCAGACCTGTGTATTCCTGCACTGTCACGATGTGTCAGGTAGACGTGGGGCACTATGACCCCAAGGACACAGAAAGGCCTGAAATACAAAGGCAGGAGATACAAAATTGTTTTCTTTTCCAAAGGAACACCCATGTTCAAAGTTAGCCTCACCCCTCAACAAATCACTTCTTATTTCTTTTATTTGTTTGTCTGTGTGTGTGTGTGTGTGTGTGTGTGTGTGTGTGTGTGTGTGTGTGTGTGTATCCACACAATGGAACTCGGTGTGGAGGTCAGAGGACAACTTGTGGAAGTCAGGTCTCACCTTCCATCACGTGACTCTTGAGGGTTAAACTCCTGCTCTCAGGATTGATGGCCAGTACCTTTACCCACTGAGTCATCTCATAGCCTCTCAGTACATTGCTTCTTCAATCCATTATTTGTCTCAGCACTTCTAAAATTCAAGGGGCAAAATGAACTCTTCAAAGTATTGGTTACCAGAGGGTCATATGCCCTCCTAACTCGATTCCACTCCTCACCATTCAAAACCATCAAAATATTAACAAAATTCACAAACCTAGGCAGAAATAAGCATTTTCACTAATGTGAATTTCATTAATGCATTAATGTCTGATATTTAATCTCTTAAAACATAGATGAAATTAAGCATAGCCCCTTTTTAATGACTAGTAAGCTTTTTTAAGATTTATTTTTATTTTACGTGTATGGGTGTTTTTCCTGCATGTGTGTCTGTGCACCATATGTGTGCAGCACCCAAGAACACCAAAAGAGACATTATATACCCTGGAATTGGAGTCATAGATGGTTGTGAGCTGCCATGTGGGTACTCAGACAAAACTGGGGTCCTCTAGAAGAGCAGCAAGAACTCTTAAACACTGAGCCATCTCTCTAACCCTGTTCCTAATAATCGTTATAGATATTTAAAGCATGACTCCCGCCTTCAATTCACACTCCCTTACCTAATGACCCAACTCTCTCTCTCTCTCTCTCTCTCTCTCTCTCTCTCTCTCTCTCTCTCTCTCTCTCTCTCTCTCTCTCCATCTATCTCTGTCTCTCAATCTTTCAAGATCTATTTGTGGTGCTCAAATATCCATGCTTTTTTAATGATTGATATTCAATTGTGCAAACACGCGCGTGTGTACACACACACACACACACACACACACACACACACACACACACACAGGCTAGCCTTTAACCATGAAGCTAAAGATAACTTGATCTCCTGTTTTTCCTGCCTCTACCTCCCGAGTGCTGGGATTACAGCTGTGTGCTACCACACACTGCTACAATAAAAACGTAACTCCAAGGTCAAGTCTAGACTTTCTTCTTCCTTCTTCTCCTTGAAATACAGACAGTCAAGGTCACCCCGGGACATCCAGTCAGGTGCTGGTGGAGAAGCTGGGTCCTGGGGAGTATCTGCAGAAGCATGTCCTGTTCAGCTTACTTCAGGTGGAAGGCAGGATTCACAGATGGAAGGACAGACAGGAATTATCTGGGGGCACTTCGTTCTGGCTTTGGAGACATTTAACTGCCCACTATTATAACTACATTGCCACAATGTTACAACTGCATTGTCCTTAGATAGATTTCCTCATAAATTAGCTATTTAGCCTCCTCTGGGGAGGGTGACTCCAAGGTGATCAAAAAGATACAAAAATTTGCTCCAGAATTAAGGTGATCCCAAGAAAGACCATTTTGAAAGCCTGGTGGGATTGTATCTCCCAACACATAGATCTGAAAGATGGGTAGTTCATTACCGAGCCCCAAGAATACATTTTTTCCGGGATGTTAATAGAAGATGTTTGTGGAAGGAAAACCCCATAAATCTCTCGAGTTTCTGGTGGGAAGTGGCCTCTGGCTCCTCTGGCAATGGAATCTGCCTGTCCGGGGAGGTATTGCCTGGAAATGGGAATGACTGAACTGCAAAGCCCTGAGTAATTATGTAACTGCAAAAACTAGCACTCATTAGCTACACCAGCTGGCCCATCATGCCCTGCTTAGTGGATCTATTTCCATTCCCGATGGCACCATCTTGTTTTATTTTCCAGAGAAATTGCCATCATACATGGCAGTCAGATGACAGCTAGGACATGGCCTGCCCATGTGGTTGCCTGAACAGGAATCCTTGAGGCCGAAGAAAAACAGAGCACAGGATACTTGGTCTCTCCTTAAACTATCTCTAGGGACTAGAGAGATGGCTCAGCAGTTAAGAACACTAAGGACCTAGTTTCAATTCCCAGGGCCCAGCTAACAACCATCTGTAACTCTAGTTCCAAGGGATCTGACATCCTCTTCTGACCTCCACAGACACTAGACACACACATACATACATGTGGTACACGTCCATACATGCAGGCAGCATAGTCATACACATAAAATAAATAAACAATGTCCTAAAAAGTCATCTCCATCTTATAGGATGAGCAGAAGCCAATTCAGGCCAACTTGCTTCAAAAACACCAACTTTGGAGCCAGCAAGGTGGCTCAGAGGATTAAGTGTGCATGCTAACAAGCCAGACCTGACAACCTGAGTTCCAGCCCTGGGATCCAAGTCCTGTAAGGAGAGAACTGGCTCCTCCATGTTGTTCTCCAACCTCCACAGATGCGCTGTGGCATGTGCACACATGTACACACACAGTGAATAAATAAATTAATCCAACCTTAAAGGCCGAGGAGATGGCTCCTACATGACTTGGTGCTTCTCAAATTTGAACTTGCATGACAAACAGAAGATGTGTTCAAACTCTGATTACAAGCCTAACTCCCAGCACCTGATTCAGGGTCTCTGGGGGATGGAGAGACAGGGTCTGCCTTTCTGAGTCCCCACGGGCTGCTGGTGCTCCTCATGAGTCCACGGTAAAGGACCCACAGTGTCCTTGATGGAGCTTCTCTGTCTTCCACTGAACTGCAGAAATCAGTAAATACTCAGCAGCGTTTTCATTACCATAAAGATTATCTCCCAAATGACCCCAGCGTCTATTTGATGACTCACAGCTGCCTGCCAGCTGGGTACTTATTATGAAAAGCTCAGTTGCCATGGAGTTTTATGGGATGGCACCCTGAGAAACTCAGGTTAGGCCCTTCACTGGTATAAACATTTAAAAATGAAAACCTTTATGGTAAAGGTGCTTGCGGCTGAGCTTGATGACCTAGGACCCACAAGGTAAGAAGAGAGAACCAACTCCTACAAGCGCTCCTCTGATCTCCACACACGTAAAAACACAAATTAATATCCTTGTTTTAATTCGACTTTTAACTGGGACCGGAGAAGGAGCTGAATTTTTATTTTAAATACAGTTTCTGAATTGAAATTCCTTTCCCAAACCACTTTTCATGTACAGGGGTGGGTAACACCTTACAAATGATTCTTCAAAAGTGATGAAATATTTAATTTTGGTTTTCATGTAATGTATCCAACTGTCAGTCAACATGACAACCCTATCAGGGGTGATGTAAAACTATGGTGATATTTTATTTGTATTAAAATGTTATTTGTATGTTAATAAATAAAGTTGCCCGGGGGTCAGAGCTATTAGCAAGCCATAGGAAAGCAGGGCAGTGGTGGTGTACTCTTGTAATCCCAGCACTTGGTAGGCAGAGCTGGGTAAGTCTCTGTGTGTTCAGGGATACAGCCATTATTGGATACACATGCCTTTAATCAATACCAATCATGGAAAACCTGGAGGCCTATACAGACAGGCCGTGAAGAGGCGGTCATGTGGTTGGGTTTACAACCAATGAGAAGGCAGAACAGGAACTCTATATAAAGACTTTAACACAGGGGTAGCTCTGGTTCAGAGAGGTAGGACCACCGCAGGAGGACGGGTAGGGTTTTAGCTCTTAGCTCTGACCTCTTGGCTTTCTTCTTTGCATTGGTTCTGTGTTTCTTATTTAATAAGAAGGTTGGATACATCTACATAAAACCTTCGTGTTTATTTGTTGGTTTGTTGAATTTGTCTACCCCCAGGCCGATAATCCACTTATGAACTGGGCAATCTCTTTTTCATGTGCATATCGTCCCCCAACTCCATCCCTCTACCTTCATCTTCTAATCTTTCCCACTATACCCACCCAGGAAAGTCTCTCCTTTCTTTTTATTTCTGTCTGATGAGGGTGACGGACCAGCCTGACTCCATCTTAAGATTAGAAGCTATCTCATTACAAGGTCAAAATGAGTTCACTCCTGTCTTCTATGAAACTTAAATTTACCATATCTTGACTTGTCTTCTGGAACTTGACATGTTCCATATACTATACCCTGACCTCCACCCTAATAAGATGTCCTGCCAAATAATTTTGAAATGTTCAAATGTTCAAATTCCTACATAATCAAAAAAGAAACCCACAACCCTTGGAAACCCCCTAGTCCTGCAGTTTTTAAACTCCATACACCCCCATTGTCTTTTGCATTCGTGGCTGTTGTCTCAAACCCAACTAGAGGGAGACAACCCTGTCTATCAGAATATAAAGCCTGCTTAATTCAGCTAAAAGAGTTTGGGTGATGGTCTTTACTCTCATTCAGAGGGATTAGCAGGAGAAATGCTGATCTGGTAAATAAAAGCTGGTATAGGTCCCACTCGAACAGATGGAACTACCTGGTTTTATGTTGAATTAGACTCAAGGACTGGGGCAGCCAAGAGCTTGAGTTGTGGAGTCCTTCAGAACGTCTAGATGCTTCTTCTTCCTGTGTCTCTACCCCTGCCGTGTCTGTCTCCACCGTCGTGTCTGTCTCCACCGCCGTGTCTGTCTCCACCGCCGTGTCTGTCTCCACCGCCGTGTCTGTCTCCACCGCCGTGTCTGTCTCCACCGCCGTGTCTGTCTCCACCGCCGTGTCTGTCTCCACCGCCGTGTCTGTCTCCACTGCTGTGTCTGTCTCTACCGCTTGTGTTTTCTCAACCTTCCTGCTGACTGAAAACGTGTTTCTGTAGAATGAATTCTCATATTTTGTTGGTGGTGGTTTTGTTTGTTGGTTGTTTTTATTTTTGTTTTGTTTTTCGAGACAGAGTTCCTTTATGTAGCCCTGGCTGTCCTAGAACTAGCTCTGTAGACCAGGCTGGCCTCGAACTCACAGAGATCCACCTGTCTCTTCCTCCCAGGTGCAGGGATTAAAGGTGTGAGTCACCACCACCACCACCACCCCGACAGGCTAAATACAATTTAAGATTCAGCCCTTTCACGTTTCTCTATCTGGCTCAGAGAATTTAAACGGTGCCTTCTTTTAAGTAAGGCATTCAAAGTCACGGTTCAGGTTGTCAGACAGAGGGTTCAACGATGTGCCTTAAAGAGTTTATTTTTTTCCTCCTGGCAAATGGGTTCTTTTTTATTTGCTTGGTTGACTGGGGGTTTTGAGATAGGGTATCAAATATCACACTGTGAGCTAACGGAGAAAGCCCTCCTTCCAGATTGTTGTTCTTTCTTGGTAGCCCTCTTAATATGCAACCCATTCATACCATCAATAGCACACCATACTGTGACCCTATGATTTCCAGCGCTGAGGAATTTGCGGAAGGGGATAGTTTGTGAAACAAAATATTTTTAGAGTCTTCCCTCAACAAACACAGCTCCCCACAGACCTGAGTTTGTGAAAATCTCAACTCTTTCTCCTCAGAAACTCACTAGGCTACCTGATGGCCTCCAGTACTTCAATCAAACAGCAGATGGCACCAAAGACCATCTTATGAGAACCACATGCACAGGCATGCTTGCAGAGTCTGTCTCAGGGAGCTGGTATTTCACAGACAGGGCCACAGACTTGCTCTTGTAGGTGTCAGAAATGCAGGAGTGACTGAAAACAAACTGATGCTCTAACAATATAATCACTGTCAACCCTCTGATCGACTCCAGGCACAAGCCATGTTGTTTCAAGGCAACTTCACAACTTCCCAAGCCTTTAACCTTAAGCAACTCATTTTCTCGGTGGCTAATGAAAGTCAGAATTTCATCTAGACCCGCCCCCGCAAGGTGAATGTGTGGGAGCCAAAAGCCATCCTGCCTTCAAAAGGCTTCAGTAAGCCCTGTTGATTGCTATTAGCGCACATTTCCCCCTGAGATCAGAGAGCATCTGGGACGGAAGCGCCATGCAGAGACACGAGATGCACAAGTGAAGTTCAGACATGCTCAATCCAGATCCCAAGAATTCGCCCTCCAGGCTCCCTGGTTAGCTGGCCATGCCTAACTCAGTTGCAGTCTCAGGCAGATGTCCCAAGAGACGTACTCCCTTTCCTCTCAGGAACTCCCAGTGAAACAAACCAAAGCGAGATGGAGGAGAGTCTCCCGGCAGCCCAGACCTCTAACGCTGAGTGCTTTGTAGCAGCCCTAGGAGAGGACCCTAAAGAACAGAATGACACCCATGATACCACCATGGAAAGGCCCACAGGGACACAGGGCAGTTGTGGGTCCCGTCAGCCCTGATGGCCTGCTGATGGACATCGGAGAAAGGAAAGGAAATGGAACGGTTACCTCTCTTGGAACTCTCTCCTGGATGCTTTTAAATGCACAGCACAAATGGTACAGGATGCTGAGGGAGACCCGTCGTGACTTTCACTTATCTCAGATTCAACCTTGGACCTCGAATACCTGAAAAACCCTGAACTAGGGAAAGAAAGGGAGCTCTGAGGAGCAAAGAAATCGAGAGAGCAGCCCATATTATGTTCTTCGTGTTTGGGTTTTTGACAGTGTCTTATTCTGTGGCTCAGGCTAGACTGAACTCACTATATAGCTCATGCTGCCTTCAAACTCAGAGTAATCCTACTACCTTAGCTACCGGAATGCTAAAATTGCAGGTGTCAGCCAACACACCCATCTCAAAACCATGTTCTTGACGCCAGATTATCTGGCCCCCTGTCTGTGTGGAAGGTATGAAGTTGTCCGTCCTTCTGTGGCTTACCAACACTGGTTCCGCCCTTGGAAGTGCTCTTACGGGGTTGCTGTGTAACTTGCTGCATAGCAGCTGTGCCCTTCTGGGGCAGTGGAATCAACATGCATCCTCACTGGGGAGAGCACAAGGCCACTGGAGAGATCATTTGCTCCAAAACAAGAATACAGAGCCCAGGTTTCCTTTCTGTCCTGAGAGTGTGAAGTAAACTGGGATAGACAAGTACCAGCGAGAACTGAGTGTGGTGTCATACATCTGTACCCCCAGCTCTAGAGGGGAGAGGAACAGGAGGATCAGGAGTTCAAGGTCGGCCTTAGCTACAAAATCAAGTTTGAGGCCAGCCTGCTCTTCAGGAGACTCTGATTCAAAACATAAGAAGAAACAAACAAATAAGATTTGTAAAGAGCTACCAAGGAGGGCCACCCATCTTCTGAGGGGGCATTTTGAGCGGTCATCTCTCTAAATAATCCTTCAAAATGAGAATGGGGAGAGCAGGCATGGCTCTCGGGGAACCCCACTCCCCGCCACAGTCCTCCATGTTATCTCTTATCTGAGAATGACTTCCACAGAAGTTCTCTCAATCAGAAGTAAGACATGAAGCTCATCTGGTCATCCTTAAGGACACAGAAGAAAGCCTTGTCTGTTCAAAGATGAAGCTTACCGTCCTACCTGCATAACCAGAGAAGGGGTGTTTGGACCCATGACAGCACACCTTGCATGCAAATGAAGGGTTATGTTTGCACCAATCATTGTACAGCTCTCAAGCAAATGAAGATGTGTTTTTACACCAGTCACAGCAGTTTTTCTGCAAGACGCCAGGAAAATTGCCCCTCCTTTGGCCTTGGTAGAAATGGCCACAAGGTCATCTAAGTTCACTGAGGCTTATGATAGCAAAAAGTTTCATGCAGACTGTTTGAACGAGCCCTGGCTGGAGCTGCACCCTCAGGAGCCAGTGCAATCAGCTGCCGTTATACAGTTTCCTGAAGACATGCATGTAGTATTCCAAACGGCTGGGGCCGCCGTAAAGGTTGGCTGTTTGTCTGACAGCTCTTTTTGTTCAAGGCAGCCAGGGCAGAGTGGGGGGAAGTCCAACAGCTGTTGATAGGGAAACCACATTGCCCGTCTCCCCGTAAACATCAGGTGTATTTACAATGGGGCCTAAAAATGTGATGATTTTAACAGAGTGTTTGTGCTGTAGCGATGTTTCATATCTGCCTAATGCCCCAGGGAAGGGGGAGTGGGTGCCCCATATTCTGTCTTTCTGTGAGAGATGATCTAGAATTTGGAGAAAATCCAGAAAGTCATCTTATTCCTTACCTCACAACACTGATAGAAGCCAGGTGAAAAATGTTCCCATTTAGATGATTCTGAAGTCTTAGCCTCATGGCAGGGCTTCTTTGGTCTCCTGGCTTCCTATCGAGGAAGTTTTAGTGAATAGATACCGTATCATAAAACATATCCATGATTACTCTTTATCTTCCACACTCTTGGGGTAATACTTAACATGTGAAACAGCCATGTTTCAACAAGACCATGATGGGAAGAAATTTGTTTCCTGACCCAAATCATCACACGGCTTCCCTTCTGGGCCCACTAAGGCCTCTTGCCCTGTCTCCCACGATATGTATCATAATGCTAAAGACAGTAGCTGCTGAGCACTGCCTAGACAAGTCTGGGCTTCCTTCTGCTTCCGGAAGTTTTGGAACACAGTTCAGATCCCTGAACAAAACACAACCTGAGTTTTGTTGACTTAAGAGGTTTCGATGCTATCACATTTTCTAGGCTTTGTTTTGTATCTTCAGATCTGCTACTGTATCTGTTAAAGATGTGAAACCTAAGCCAACCCTGCCCATGGAACCATGAGCTTATCAAATTCCCAGCACTTGATAAAATACCAGGCGGTTTTCAAAGGCAGCCTACTAAAAATAAAATAAAATACAGTACGTGTTTTAAAGACTTTCTACTTTCCAGCAGGGACAGTCAACAACCCTTGCTGAATGATGTAAGAAGCCTGAAATACACCCAGCATTTCAGTCAACTGTCAACAGACAGAAGCCAACGGGGCCTTGCCTTCCTTACGCAGGTCTGGAATCATGAAGGGTGTACTAGACAATCCCGACATCCCTCCCTCTGCATGTCTCTGTAATTCCATTCGGTTGTGTGGATGTTCTCATAGACAGCCATATTGATATGACTGAGGTTGCTTCCCTCCAGGAACAGCATGCTCATGACAGACTGCCCTGGAAAACAAACTACTGTAAGAAACTCCACGTTGCAAAATGGGGTTATCCTCGCTGCAATTTTCCCGGTAGCTGCTTTACTTGGAGGAAGGGCCTCAGAAGCTCGTGGCCACCGGCTCTTGCTGAGGCTGTGGAAGTCTTTCTTAGCAGCCCAGGCAGTGTCTTGAGACACCCCAATAAAAGCCTGCTCTGAAGCTGACTCAGAAGGACTCACCCTGTTTAAACTCCTACATTGTTTCCCTTGAAACATTATCTACAAAGGTTTGACTACCGCCCGGCCCTGCTTATCTTAGATGTATGTTCCAAATCTTGTTTTTCCTGGTACAGAGGTGGAAAAATAAAGAAACCACTCACCACTGCTGCTGTGTGTCTTCCTGAGCAAGGAAAAAAAAAATGATAGAGGCGGGGACGAAATAGAAGATGACACAATGTATTAGTCAGTTTCCCATCAGCACAATAAATACCTGGATAATCACAGAGAAGATGTTTATTCCTGCTCATGGATCTGAAGGCTTTGCTCTGTGATCAGTAGGCTCTGCTCACTTTGGACTTTGGGGGGTTTAAGAGGTAGGGCGTAGTGGGAGGTATTTTGTGGGATGTGGTCTCCTCTCTCACTCACTTCCTGGCCATGAAGTAAGTAGTGTGGCCCTGCTGACCATTCTAACCATGATATACTACCTCACCCTAAGTCTATCATCTCCCAATAGCGCCACACAGGGAACCAAACTGTTACTACAGGGTCTATTGGGAAATGTTTAAAATTCAAACTATAACACATGGAAAATACTAAATAGAAAAAAAATGAGGAGGGTAAGAAAGCATCAATAAAGTAGTGAGTTGGGAAGGAATTGAGACATGACCTCTCTACACTGCATATTAGACTAGTCACAATAGCTGACAGGTCAGCCATGGTTTGCATAGCAGCCTGCGTGCTTCTCAAATGCATCTGAGAGGTTTTAAGCATGAACTCAAAAAAATAAGCACTCCAGTTTTAAATTCATAGCTTTCCTTTCAAACATGATGGAGATGTTGACATCATCATGGCCTTAGAGGAGCTGAAAGACCAAATAATGAACTCGATAGAGTGCTTGGGATACCTCTCCCCACAGCAAAGCTGAAGATGCTCTGGTGTCCTTGCCCTTTCGTGACAGAATTAAGGCCTTCCAAATTACATGTTACAGGATCAGCCTTTGTGTCTCCCCGCCACCCCAATTCATAAAGCTTATATCCTGAGCCCCCAGTGTGGTGGTGTTGGAAGTTGGGTCCTTTGGAAGGTTTAAGTGAGGTCATGAAAATGAGGTAATCATGAAACTGATGTTCTAATACTAAGAAAGTCCAGAGTCCATTTGTTTTCAACCTCCACAGATGCCTAGCATAATATTTTATGTAATAGGGAATCCATAAATATTTGATTTGTTGGTCAATAAAGATCACCAAGTTTTGTGGACACATAAGAGCGCTGGTTGGTTAGTCTACACCCAACCTCACAAAGTAGACATAATTCACTTCTTTACATTCAACCCTTCTCTCCGTGAGCCAGAGCTAGGCTGGCTGGGGGCTTCTGCAGGCGGGAAGGTTCCAGAAGCAGAATATTATACTGCAACAGAGCTTGAGGCTCTAGGAGACTCGGCCAGTTTTACCCTTCATTGCAGAATAATAGAACTGGAAGTCTTCAAGTGTGGGGCTCAAGGGGGTCACTGAGACCAATTGTTCTTTTTACATTTTTACAAGAGATTAGAGGACATGTCAATGCCTAGACAGGTAGGGCACTGAGGAGAGACCAGACCCATGTGACAGAGTTGGGGGAGGTGATCCTTATTGTTTTTACAGTAAGAAGGGGGATGGGAGAATTGGGAGAATTTGAAAGTTTCTCTTCTCCTCTCTCTCTCTGGTCCAAAGTCCTCTGTTGCTAAGGGGTGGCCAGTGAGTACTCAGATAAAGAATGTCACGTGATCAGTAACCACCTTCCTCACCGGCCACAACATGGGGTACACAGGGTAGAGAAAGGCTGGAATCTAGAGAAACAAGTTAAATTTTTTTCTAGCATCCAAATGACTGGAGTTTGGGGAATAGGCACAATTCAACCAAAATAGAGGAGAGCTTTACAAAATGCCATGGCCCCGGATAGCAAGAACCAGGCAGCTTGTATGGAAAAAATAAAAGGGTAACATGATGCCCTTTGCCAGAGGGGAGTGTGGGAAAGAGGTAAGAGATTGACAGAAGTCGTTTGTCCAACGCTGTAAGCAAATTTCCACCTTGTTACTCACTAAGGGAGCTACCACTGCACAGCCTACCCCAACCTGCACGGCTCAGCCCAGTTTCGTAAAAACTAAACTAACAAATGACCACAAAAGAAATCAATAGTGCTTACCTCTTAGGCAATGCAAGAACTGCTTCATGCAACTTTGGGGTTTTATATGTAACAGTGTGCTAGGTCTTCCTGTGAAACGTACCGTTACTATAGTAACAACATTTTTAAAGTTTTGCCTTAGCAGCAGCCATTGGCACTTCTCCCTTGCTAGAATCGGGGCTTTGATAAAAACAGCAGTGTTTGTTTTGCTCAGGTTGCTGTGCAGGCAGGATTCTGGCCTGGGAATCATGGGTGCATGGGAGTAGAGATCAGCCTTAAGGAGTGATAACCTCTCACTGTCTGGGTTCCTTCCTGGTGGTACAGGAATCTTGCCCACTTCCTTAAGGACATCTCTAATGCTAATGCGACTGGAAACTGGAGACTGAAGAAAGCTACATTAAGATGAACATATGAAAGAAGTCATCAGGAAAAAAAAAAAAGACTTGGTCCAGGTCCAGATGCCACTGGGGTCTGTGTTGATGTCTGTGGCCCTCGTCACCTCAGGGGCCCATAGGAATCAGAGGGCCATGATGTGCAGGCCCCACCCTTCATTGGCCCAGGGAAAGTTGGCCTTGTCTCTTGCTGGACACTGTAGCAAAAGAGATGGCCCCTGCATTCGGGAGAGATGGCCCCACTCCTCACCATAGGTAGGGTGAACTGACCTTGAGGGCATGGGCATAGGGATGCTGAGTCCATCCCCTCAAATGAGGTGGGAAGCCCCAGTGGCCAGCACTGACCAGCTCAGCTACCACCCAGGTCCACAGCCTGACCTTGGGTTGGCCCACCCTAACATCCACCCCATCTAGGACCTGCTAGAGATCATGAACCACCACAATGGTGTACCAGAAACCCAAAGCCTTGAACCAGACTAGTGACTCATTGCAATGAACATTAGCTAGTAAAGCTGATTGGACAAAAGGGTGTACTGTTAATATTCTGATCCTGCCCCTTGGCACCACCCTGTGTTCTGACATAAAAGTCTCTTTAAAAAAAAAAAAAAAAAAAAAAAAACTCTGCCCATTTTTCTCTTTCTTCTGCTTCCCTCCCACAAAGTACACACCCCGAACCACCCCCTTTCTCTCTCTCCCTCTCCTTTCTGTCTTTTCTTATCTTTCTCTTTATCCCTCATTATAATAAACCATTTCCACTCGGATGCAGCCTCTGGGTTGTGAATGTTCACCTGCCGTCGTCCCTCCCACCCCCACCCCCTCCCACCCCCGTACTAAATCTAACATTGGCGCCCAGCGTTGCCAGGCAGCCCCACCGCTTTCTCCTGCCCGCCAGTCTTGAAGAGCTTTTGGGACCCTGTACCTGTACCGCCCACCATTTTTCCGGCTGGAGGACCTCCGGAAACTCTTCACCCTTTCGGGTAAGATTCTTCCCTTTCCTTTTAGCCATTTTCCCACAACTGAGAATTCGCTCCACTCTCTCAATCGTAGTGCTGACCACTTCTCTTTTGGGCTCTAAGCCCCTCGGTAATAAATCATAACATATGACATCCCAAAGCTCCCAATGCCACTGTGATCAAGAGGTGGGAAAGGAGAAGCAAAGAAGTTTTTGTTGTTGTTTGGTTTGGTTTGTTCTTGTTGTTATCTTGTTTGCTTGCTTTGTTTTTGTTTGGTTTGATTTTATTTTAATTTTCTTTTGTGGTGAGGGGCACTGCAGAGGTGAGGAAAGGATACGGGGGTGGGGACTGGGAGTTGAGTAGAATTGGGTGCGTGATGTAAAACTCCCCAAAAAAAAATCAATAAAGAAATTACATTAAAACAAAAAACAAAAAAACTAGAAGCTCTTTCCCATCTGGCTTCATACAATGAACCGAGCATGCTCATAAGGGTCTGCACCAATGGAAGGCAAGAGAGAGCTGGGCGGTGGTGGCCCACGTCTTTAATCCCAGCACTCCGGAGGCAGAGGCAGGCGGATCTCTGTGAGTTCGAGGCCAGCCTGGTCTCCAAAGCGAGTTCCCGGAAAGGCACAAAGCTACACAGAGAAACCCTGTCTCGAAAAACCAAAAAAGAAAAGAAAGGCAAGAGAAAGGCAAGAGAAAGGCATGCTACTGTTAAGCCATTCATCTTCCCCTGTTGTTGTTCCTCCTCCTCCTCCTCCTCCTCCTCCTCCTCCTCCTCCTCCTCCTCCTCCTCCTTTCTGTTTCTTCTTTGGCTTTTTGTGACAGAGTTTCACTGTGTAGCCCTGGCTGTCCTGAACTCTGTAGACCAAGCTGGCCTTAAACTCACAGATATGAGTGCTGGGATTAAAGGTGTGTGCCACCACTGCCTGGCACTTTCTTCTTAATGAACTGTCTCTATTTCCATTTCTAAGCACATGTCCTTCATCTACTTCTTTGCGGTGGGATGTAAGAATTCAGGCACTTCAGCAGGTGGCCTGGGATTCAAATCTGTGCCTAAAATACCAAGATATCACCAACACCATACCTAGCATGATGCCTGGTAGATAACATTAGCCAACAAATGTACCTATCTGCACCCCCCACCCCCCCTACCCCCGCCCCGCCCCAAACACACACACACACACACACACACACACACACACACACACACACACACACACACACCCCTACCCCAGGCTACCACCTCCAGGGCAGCTCACAGGACCACCTCTGCATCTCTCCATTTTACTTAGGGTAGGTTTTGTAGAACTGGAGTTTGCAATGTGATACTTTCCTCACCATGGTTTGCACACCAAGAAAGGCAATTTGATAGGTGAATGCTTCTGGTGCTTTCAAGGTCTCCAAAAAACATCAAAGTGGACAGAAGGCCATAACTCAAAACATCATAAAGAGAACAGATCCCCATTCAAGCCAAGTCCCTAAAGCATTCCCCAAATAGAAAATATGCCACTGTTCTCCACCCAAACAGCAGAATGGCACAGCCCAGCAGAATCAGCGACAACCCAATATCACACATCTGCCTTTATTTGAATGGTGGGAATTGCATGATGGGAAATAGCAAGCATAGTAGTTTGCCCATCAGAACTGAACATCAACCAATCAGGACAGCCCTTGCTTACATGGCAGGAATTACACTACTGAAAATTGAAGCCACTGGGCCTCTTCCTCGTGGCTTATTGCCATAGGCTAGCGTGCTCCTGGTCCTTCAAAGAAAAAGAATAACGTCGGTGGCACACAATGGATGCATGAACAAAGAGAAGATTGCTCTGCAGGGCAATTGTTTTTTGCAAAAAGGGTAGCCAAGACCCAAAGGACGCTAGGCCAAGACTTCCTTTTATCCTGGATGGTGGTGGCGACTGTGTCTCACCCCATAGCTGGGAGCACTTTATTTTCTGACACTATTGGCTGATCAGTGCAAAGGGGAAGGGGGGGAGGGTCTGGAAACGAGTGCTTGCCAGGCTAAATACATTTGATTAAAAACAAAACAACGTTTCTCACACTTCCACGGCCCTGCTCGCTGTGTGTGTGCTAACTAAACTGTTTTCTTTCTACTTCAGCCTAAAGTGTGAATTCTTTCACCAACCAGATAATATCCCTGAGAACCATTAATTTCTGATTTTAACCTATATTTAAGCAACTCCTGTGCCTGCCCCATCCGACTGCACATTTCTGTGCTCAGGGGCTTTCCACAGTGCCCAGGAAGTAAGTACTCAGTGACTACTAATGAAGGAGCCCAGTAAACACTTTCTGCTCTCTTCCGGCTTAGCTACTTAAGCGGCAAAGGTCAGGACTTTGTGTTCTGAGCATTCCTGTGGAAATGACCCCCACGTCATCTCTTCCAAGTCCCAGGGAGGAGCAACCTGTTTCCTGCCTGGCTGGCCAGGTGCTGCACTAAGAAAGGCTGCCTCTTCACTTAGCTATCCCAGGAAAGGAAGCCAGTCCTCAGCGGCTCCCCATGGAGTGACCTGGAAGATCCTGTGTGAGGCCATTTTCTCCAAGACTGTCCAGTCCTTTGCTATGTACCGGTCACCACCAGCCACTCTCTGATCAGATCAGTTCTTTCCTGGCCCCTTCCATGTCTCCAGGTAGATACTTTTACTAGACTCTGTCTTATTTATACCTTTGCTGCTCCTTGGGTAACTGATTTCTGTAAGAATTACTTTAGAAGCCTTTCATCTTCCCCTGTAGAACCTGAGCTGTGTCCTGTTAAGAAACGCTCCTCGGCCGGGCGGTGGTGGCGCACGCCTTTAATCCCAGCACTCGGGAGGCAGAGCCAGGCGGATCTCTGTGAGTTCGAGGCCAGCCTGGGCTACCAAGTGAGTCCCAGGAAAGGCGCAAAGCTGCACAGAGAAACCCTGTCTCGAAAAACCAAAAAAAAAAAAAAAAAAAAAAAAAAGAAACGCTCCTCACGTGACTGCCTGGATCTGTGCCAGGATGCCTGGCCCATAGTTAACATTCCGCACAGACTATTAGAAAGGAATTCCCCTGGGTAGGGGAGTTAGCTCAGTCCGTAAGAGTTCACTCCTCCGAATCTATGTTTAAAAAAGAAAAAAGTGAGGGGTAGTGATGTGTATTTGTAACCCACAAGTGCCACGGAGGTAGAGGTCCACTCAGTGAGCCAAGGGTTCTGGTAAAGAACCCTGTAATCAATAAACAGGGTGAGGGCTGGAAAGATGGCTGGCTCAGTCTTTAAGGGCACTCGCTGCTCTTGCCAAGGATACAAATTCTGTTTCCAGGACACAAAGTGGCTCACAACCATCTCCAACTCCAGTTCCAGGGAATCTGACACCCTCTTCGGGCCTGCATAGGCACCATGCATGTTCATGGTACCCAGTGCATGCACACATACATTTAGGCGAACACTCATACACATAAACTTTTCCAAAGAAATTTTTTTCAAAAAACATGATGGTGTAGGGGTGGGGTAGGGTGAGTAGTTCCTGCAGAAATGGCTTAGAGGCTAAGAGAACTTGCTGCTCTTCCAGAGGACCCTACTTGGGTTCTCAGCATCCATGCCAAGTCATGCATCTCACAACTGTCTGTAATTCTGGTTCCAGGGGACCTGATGCCTCTGGTCTCTTTGGCACCTACACTCAGCTGCACATACTCACAGTCAGACACATACCTATACACAATTAAAAATAAATCTTTTTTGGGCAGTGGTGGCTCACCTTTAATCCCAGCATTCAGGAGGCAGAGGCAGGTGGATCTCTGTGAGTTTGAGGCCAGCCTGGTTTACAGAGCTAATTCCAGGACAGCCAGGGCTGCAGAGAAAAACCCCGTCTCAAAAAACAAACAAACAAACAAATAAATAAATAATTTTTTTAAATTAAAAATAAAAATCAGTGGAGAGCTGGGAGACGGCTTGCTAGGTAAAAGTGTTTCCTATTCAAGCATGTGGACGTGTGTTCAAATCCTCAGAATTCACTTAAAATTCCAGAGTCACAGATGTGCCTACAACCCTAACTCTGTACAGGGTGGAGACAGAGGGATCACGAGGGCATGACAGCCACCAGCCTAGTTCCAGGATCTGGGGGAGATTGTGAGTCAAGAAAATGAGGCACAGAGCAGCAGAGCAGGACACTGGATGTCCTCCTCTGGCCTGTGTGCAGGCTGGCACACGCTCCTGTTCACGTGTTCATATTCCACACACTCACACACAGAGCCAGAGAAAGAGAGAGAGAGAGCGCACATGGCTTCTGAGAAACACTACTTGAGACTGACATTTGACTAACACACGTGTGTGTACACACACATATGCACAGTCACAGATGTACACACGCAATACATAAGAATAATTTCTAATGTTTTATACACAACACTGGGTGTGAAACTAGATTTCCCAATTATCTGTTGGATATTTTATAAATAACTGGAGAAAGTAGCTTCCAAATAAACACCCTAAGGATATGCAAGTGTCAATTTTCCTGATTTTTATCAATACATTTTGCATATGCATATTGAAATATCACACTATGCCCCAAAAATATGTATAATACTTAATAAACAATTTATCTTGACGGAAAAACTTGTGATATGGAAAGCTTAGCTACATTAGTTGAGCATTACATACATACTGTATACATGTGTTGCCACGTGGTACTCTATAAATGTGTACAATTAAAGTTATTATTTCATGTATACAGAATAACCGATCTTTATTAAATCCTATGTCCCCCTCAATTCCCAGCCGCAATTCTTTCCCTGCAGGCCTGAAAAGCATGCTGAGCTGAGACTCTGCAGAGGGGTTCAGTGTCCTTCAAACCCACAGTTTCTGTGGCCCTTGTAGGCCTCACCAGCAACTCACCAACTTCGTGTGTGAAGCTGAGGAGAATGCTGGAGCCGCCCCCCCCCCCCCCCCCCCCCCCCCCCTTTGCAGTGGCCTGGACAATATCCCAGCCAGGGCTTGTTCCCAAGGTCAGAACAAAGGCAAAGCTCCTCACTCCCCTACCCCTGAATTT